GTTTCAGAAACAACCTTGGAACCAGAGAAGCACTCTTCAGTTTGCAGGTCATGGTTCAAAGATGTAGGGATATAGAATAACCAGTATATATGTGTTTTATCGACTTCGTAAAGGCCTTTGACCGAGTAAACTATGACAAACTTATAGGTGTCTTGCAACAGGTGGGAACTGATGACCGAGACCTCCGTATTATCAAAAATTTGTATTGGCATCAATGTGCAAACATACGAGCTGGACACAACACGACGGAAGCAGTGGAAATACGATGTGTAGTGAGGCAAGGATGTATTCTATCGCCTCTACTTTTTAATACCTACTCCGAATTTATTTTCAAAGAAGCCTTAGTTGAAGATACAGGCATTAAAATCAACGGAATGAATGTCAACAATCTTAGATATGCAGACAACACGGTACTTATTGCCTCCAATGAAGAAGACCTGCAACGACTTATAAACAGGGTAACCGAAGCATTTGATGAATATGAACTAAAACTTAATAATTCTAAGACAAAATTTATGGCTGTCAGCAAAACGGAGTTACCACCAACGAACATCAGAGCGTATGGAATAGAGTTAGAAAGAGTCCACAATATTACCTACTTGGGTGCAAATGTTAACGATAACTGAGATATAAATAAAGAAATAAGAATACGCATTGAAAAAGCCAGAGCCGCCTTCTATAAATTAAAGAAAATTCTAATTAATAGAGATATTACGTTAAATCTTAAAATGAGATTAATAAATGTGGATTTATCGACGAGTATTGCGGATAAGTTGGGTTGATCGAATAAGAAATGAAATAGTTTTACATCGAATGAAGAAGAGCACAGAAATATCAAAAACGATAAAAATTCGAATGTTAGAATATTTCGGTCATGTAATGAGACATCCAGAGAGGTATAACCTTCTACACCTCATGGAGAGGCCAGGCAGATGAAGAACATCCTGGCTCCGAAATCTCCGAGAATGATATTAAGAAACCACCGCTTATTTATTTTGAGCTGCCGTAAATAAAGTTATTATTGCCAATATGATCGCCAACGTTCAAGAATCGGACAGGGTACTGAAAGAAGAAAAGAAGAAGGTATCAGTTTCTCCGGATGGTCAAAAAAACAAGTATAGGCTATGAGGGAAAGATATAGAGATAATAGGGTATACAGAAAATTCTAGGTAATAAGTAATCTGGTTAAAACAAATATTTTGCTGGTAAATATAAAATAAATTATGTTACAAACAAATCTTTTCATAACCTTTCCTGCTAGGAAAACAAAATTTTTGCGTAAAATGTACAGTGCACATGAATTATATCAAACGGATTTACTGTAAATAACTTCTTATTAATATTGTAAATTGTTTTTAATTAAATTTAGAAATTACTTGTTTCATATTTTCATTACTAGAGCAATTTACTGTCGTACTTCTTATGCTGTCCAGTAAAGTGGATCATTTGCTGTCGAATCTCTATCGACAATCCAAAACAGTTGCAAATTCGTGACTGATACTATAGTGCTTTATTGACTCTATATTCCAGGTTTGACTCTCGACGATTCGCATGTTTCTAAATTTAAAATTACTGAAAGGTAAGAGATTTTTGTCTAATTTCGAGGATTTGCTGCAATAAGTAGCCATTATAGATATCTGACTCCGTGGATTTACAATGAAGGGATTGCAAATTTGAAATATCGTTGAGAGACGCGATTGAGCCAGTTACACGGATATTATTTGTTCTCTTTGTTACGTAGTGGTAGTTATCGAATAATCCTCGAACAAGCGAATGAATTGAACGATGTAAAATTTGAAGAGCTTGTGTTTGGTATTCCTTAATTCTGACGAATATTGGGGATTTATTTTATTTAGCGTATGGCAATTTGATACACAACATTATCACATATATGTTACAATCTAACATCTAATGTATTAATATATTCAATCGACGCTGGTGTTGCAGAGGCGAAGTCTAGAGGATCTCCATGATACTTCCTCCGAGGGCATTCGGCAATCATATGCTGGATGGTCTGTTTCTCGGCGCCGCAGTCGCACTCAGCAGAGGTTCTCATCCTCCATTTATAAAGGGAATCTGCGCAGACTCCATGACCCATTCTTATCCTGTTAAGAGTTGACCATGATTTTCGGGGGAGGTCAAAACCTGGTGGAGTTTCTGTGGTGCATGGTGTGTTTCTCATTATTAGGTTCGGTCTGTCGCTCTGCATGTTCTTCCACTGGGAGATCATTTGAAAATTGTTGAAATTCAAGTTTATTGCATCTCTAGTCGGAGGTTTTTCTGGAGCGCAATCGATGTGAATTAGCGTCGGCGACATATATGTGTATAGGTAATTGCGGGTTGTTAAGCATGCTGACGACGAAGATTAGGTGGAGGTATATGGCTCAGTAGTGGAAGCCACTCCACAGGTGTAGACTTGATCGTTTCAGATATGAGACGCATGGCGACATTGAGCTGAGTATCTATAATTTTTGTGTGTGAACGCTATTCAGCCAAACAGGAGAGCAGTATTCAGCTGCGGAGTATACGAGTCCAAGGGCTGAACACCGAAGTGTACCTGCTGATGAGCCCCATGTAGTCCCGCAAAGCTTCTGTATGATATTGTTACGGGTATATCAATGTATACTTTTAGTTTTGTGTGGGCCATTTTGTTGTTCAGGTGAAAACAGCTAACCTCGGTTTTTTTGGGGTTAGGTTTATGTCTCCATTGTTTAAAGTACTTAACCAGGCGTTCCAGATCTTCCGTTAGGATTGCCTCGGAGTTTTGTATTAAGGAGCTTTGAGTTGCAAGTGCCCAGTCGTCTGCATATCCAAATTTTTTTAGATCTGGTAGGGGGCATATTAGCTATATACATACTAAATAGCAGCGGTGCAAGTACGAAGCCCTGGGGGAGGCCATTATTAAGCGTTCTCTGTTTGCTCACTGTAGTTCCCATGGTTACACGGATGTTTCTACTGATCAGCATAGTATTTATGAGTCGAGCGGTTACTTTGCAGGGGATTATTTTAAGGAGCTTATAGATGAGGCCGTCTTTCCAAACCGTGTCATAGGCAGCCGATAAATCGATGAATGCCACAGACGTCTTCAGTTTTCTTTGGTAACCTGCCTCTATGTAGGTAGTTATAGAGAGCACTTGGTCAGTGGTGCTTCGTTGAGGCCTGAAGTAGCCTGATTTTTTGAAGTAGCTTTGGGCCGATTCTGTTCAGGACCAGTCTTTAGAGGAGCTTGTAAGCTGCACTGAGTAAAGCGATGGGGCGGTAACTCGCTGGGTTGTCTGTTGGTTTTCCAGGTTTCAGGATTGCTATGATTTTTGTTTGTTTAAAGAGGTTTGGTAGGTTACCTGTTTTGAGTATATCTGTATAGAATTTAGACAACCAGGTTTTTGCAGATTTCCCACAATGGATCAGGAATTCGGGAGGTATACCGTCTGTACCAGGAGCTTTGTTAGGTTTAATGTCTTTGATGGCGTTTGAGACTTCTTCTGGAGTGAACGGTGCGGAGTACTCTGTATCTGATGGACAGGCAGTTTTTAGATGTTTAAGCTCCCTTTTTATAGTAGTGGTAAACTTTTTATCACATGCTCCTCTGGAGGTGGCAACTATTTGTGATGGAATTTTATTAGGGTTGAAGTCGTGGATTTGTCGTGTTGCCAGTTTGTCACTTCCGAGTTTTCTTAGGAGCGACCACGCTTTACGGCTAGACTTTTTGAAATCTAACGATTCGACTTTATTTGTCCATTTCTTCCTTCTTGCTACATCAAGGCTCAGGGGAAGTTCGTCCGCAATGTCACTTTCACCGGTTTCAAGATATTCTTCGTAGAGGTTTTGGCTTTCCTCACTCCATCCTAGTATGTATTGCTTACGATGGCCCCTGGGAATGTGTTTCTTAGCTGTAGCAATTATTGCCCCTCTAAACCTTTCATAATTTTTGTATGTTGGTGGAATCCATCGTAAGATTTTATCGAGTTCATTGGTAAAGGCGGGCCAGTTACCTTTGTTAAAGTTCCAGCGTGGTCGTGGAATGGTTGTAACTAGTGGGATTTGGATACCAATCTCAATAATAATCGGCCTGTGCTTGCTATGCGGGAAGTCATGAAGTACTCTTCTCTTGGTTGGTAAGGGGTAGCTTTTCTGGTTTTTGCTCACAAAACATAAATCTGGATTGTACTCTTGTTTCCATGCCGCCGATTTAAAAGTGCCCCGGTCTTTGGCATCGAAGACGTGATGCAGGTGGTTACTCTCTGCCCAGTCTAACAGTGTCTCCCCGTTTTCATCGTTGTTTCTGTATTTCCAATCTTGATGATGGCTGTTAAAATCACCTAAATAAATGGCTGGATGGGGCCTTATGTCCATGACGTGGCTTGGCCATGTAATACTTGGGGGTTTATAAACATTTGTCACTTCGATTTCACCTATTTTGGTAATGGTCAAATGTATATTATCTTGCGTGGTGGAAGATACGAAGTGAGCGTTTTCTACGGAGTTTTTTACGTAGTTGGCGGTACCATAAGCATGGTGATAGGTTGCTCCCAGAAGATCATAGCCTGGAATTTTGCCTCTACTTGCGAGTTGTTGTTCGTTTAATATTGGGGAGATAATTTAAAAACAAAGACAACAATAAATCAAGAGAAATAAACCACGAGATCAGGAAAATGATAAAGCAGGCAAATGAAAAATAGTTTGAAGAGAAATGCAAAGAGATCGAAGACCTTCAAAATAAATATGATCTGTTTAATCTACACAAGAAAGTTAAAGAACTGGCAGGATTATGAAAACAAAATCCCACTCGTGCAATTCTGGATCAACACGGAACTACTATAACACATACCGACGAGAAAGTACAAAGATGGGTAGAATATATCGACGAATTTCTCGATGATGAAAGAGGAGATCTGGACCTCATAGAACTTACGTTAGAAGAAATAGGTCCATATATTACAAAAGAAGAAATATTACACGCATTAAAAACAATGAAGAGTGGGAAAAGCCCTGGACCTGACATGCTTCCTATAGAAATCTTAAAATTTCTAGATAAGAAGCACATTTATGTTTTAGTGACACTCTTGAACCAAATTTATAGTTCAGGCGTATTACCCAAAGAATGGTTAACGTCAATTTTTATTTGCTTCCCCAAAAAGAAAAACTTAAGAGAGTGCAGCGATTACCGCACCATTAGCGTGATGTCTCATGTGCTAAAGTTACTACTAAAAGTCATCCACAACCGAATATATCACAAACTGGACATAGACACAATTTGGTTTTCGCAAAAGCCTGGGAATGCGTGAAGCTCTTTTTCACTTAATACTGATAGACTATAATCTGTTTCACATATACTGATACAACATGCCTGGACGTTAATCAAGATATATACGCGTGTTTTATTGACTATAATAAAGCATTCGATAAAGTACGACACACACAATTAATGAATGTCCTGAAATCAAAGAAGATTGACTACAACGACCTCAGGATCATATCAAATTTACATTATAAACAGCGAGCAAAGCTACGTGTTAACGAACAGCTGTCAGAAGAAATTGAAATTAGATGTGAAGTGAGACAGAGATTCGTATTGTCTCCAATTATTTTTAATGCCTACTCCGAAGAGATCCTGAAAAATACTCTTGAGGGTGAAACAGCTGAAATAAAGGTAAATGCAGTTCCCATTAACAACATTAAAACTTTTCAGAGCAGCCGTCTCAAAAGTCCGAATAGCTATGATGCTTGCTGACCTCCGCCGCGGAGATGGCACTTGAAGAAGAAGAAGAATTCTGACGCTGCTTGCAAACCAAAACAAAAGAAGAGGAAGAGACCATTCGCGTTGCGACAAAATAATATCACTATTTATTTATTTAGTTGTGGTTTTGTTGGTAATCTATTTTAAATCTGTTTCTTATAGTGGAGTTGTAGAATGATTGGCATGCTAAGGAATATAATGTTTGTTATTTGTAACGAAATCAAATTTAACTATGATTGCTTACATAATAGCTGTTTGGCCCTTAGAAGCTATTTTTAGAAAAAATTATCTATAACGAATTTACCCAACTTCCTAATCGATATAGCATACCTTTAATATCAAGACCTTACTAGCTATTTTTAGACAAGGATGAGTAAAAAATGGATAGACGATGGCATACAACGTATGTTAAACTGTATTGTATAAAATTGATATTTATTTTGAGCAAAAATAAAATATTTGTCAATGTTATATATTTGATAAATGTTTGTCATAACTTATAACCTCAATAACTGAAGACATGCACAGGCTTCGACAGAGATAATAGCAGATTCTTATTTCAGAAGACAAAAATAATATTTTACTGAACATAAAGGATCGAAGATTGTTTGTTTTTAGCTATAGGATGTTCGAAAAAATAAACATATTTTTCTTTGCAAATCAACCAATTTTTTAATTTCGCTCTGATAACGAGCTATTCATTATTGAAACTATTTTTATGAACTTAGTTTATTAAAGAAATATTGAACTTACTCTAATTTATATTGTTAATAACCGTACTATTCAAATATTTCGGCAAAAATAAGTTGGGAAATGACAAAAAAATATAGCTTATTTATTTTCATCTATTTGATTTTGGTTTATTTTGATTTTTAAAAACAAAATCCAACTGGTGCACTTCTGGATAGACACGGGACTACTATAACACAGACTGACGAGAAAGTACAAAGTTTGGCAGAATATATCGACGAACTGTTCGATGATGAAAGAGGAGATCTGGACCTCATAGAACTTACGTTAGAAGAAATAAGTCCATATATTACAAAAGAAGAAATATTACACGCGGTAAAAACAATGAAGAGTGGGAAAAGCCCTGGACCTGACATGCTTCCTATAGAAATCCTAAAAATTCTAGATGAGATGCATATTGATGTTCTAGTGACATTCTTGAACCAATTTTATAGTTCAGTCGTATTACACAAAGAGTGGTTAATGTCGATTTTTATTTGTCTGTCCAAAAAGAAAAACGCAAGAGATGTAGCGAATTACCGCACCATTAGCTTGATGTCTCATGTGATAAAGTTAATACTAAAAGTCATCCATAACCGAATATATTACAAACTGGATATAGACGTTAATGGCACACAATTTGGTTTTCGCAAAGGCCTAGGAATGCGTGCAGCTCTTTTTTCACTTAATGTACTGATACAAAGACGCCTGGACGTCAATCAAGATATATACGTATGTTTTATTGACTATAATAAAGCATTCGATAAAGTACGACATAAACAATTAATGAATGTCCTGAAATCAACGAAGATTGACTACAACGACCTCAGGATCATATCAAATTTATAATATAACCAGCTGTCAGAAAAAATTAAAATTAGATGTGGAGTGAGACAAGGATGCGCATTGTCGCCAATTATTTTTAATGCCTACTCCGAAGAGATCTTACTATAAAACGTTCCTTATACATTTTAAAGATAAATGGTTCAAATAAAAGATGTTAATCATAAAAAGTTCATTAATTTGCGAGTTTTAAAATTTTAATACATAACAATTGACCGAAATAATTGCAAAAACCCTTATTTGTGCAGTAATTTATGAATGTTCTTTATTCTTCAATGACATGTAATGTAGCTACTTAAACTTATGGCAATTATTGATTTATTGAAGTGTGCTAAATCTCAACTAGATCGACTGAATAGTTTGTAAGTTATTCAATTTAAATATTCTGTAGAGCGATTAATTAAACAACTGTACTTGCCCAAACAGTGAGATTACGGAGATTATTAAGGAGATCACCTTCGTTTCTTTAAGTGGTGAAAAAACCCGATCTAAAAAAAGAACCTTCTATGACCAATAGTAACCAAGATAGCATTTTTTTAAATCATATTTCCATTTAAAAATTGAATAGATTAAACGTGAAGATCTATATTTTGTGATCTAATTTGTAGATGGCATGTACAAAAAAGTTATAAAACAGTTATAACCCAAACTCGTAAAATACCGCCACATTAAACTGGAGGGGATTCGTTTTTTATATAAATGAACTTCAAGTTGAAGCGTGCTGGAAAAATTTGCAATATCTCGCCTTCTATGGCATACAGAACATTCACTTTTATTTAAACTGGGGTAGCTGGAGTAAATAATAAGAACTGGTCTACTTTCGCCTCCCAGACAAAATCGGAAAAACAAATAAAAAAATTTTTTCCATCAAAAAGTTACCTATTGAATTTTACTATTATTTCGTAAGATATATTTAAATTCTAATAATTATTATATATTATTTTTATAAATATATAATACGAATTAATTATTATTATATATTTATATAAAAAATATAGAATAATCAACAATATTTAATTATTTCTTAAGAAATAATAGTAAAATTCAACCCTTTTATGACGGGATTTTTCGATTTTTATGGGAGGTGATAATAGCACAGTTCTTATTACTTTATGGAGATAGATTAATTACAGACATGGGCCTCATTTGGTAAACTATCATATATTCTAAAGAATAAAAAGTTCCCTCAATATATGCGAACGAAAGTATACAACCAGTGCATTTTACCAGCTGTCACATATGGCTCACAAACATGGACTTTCACAAAGGAGAACATCGACAGGATATCCAAAACACAAAGAGCAATGGAAAGACAGATGCTGGGTATCGGTCTTAAAGACAGGAAAAAAAACTCATGGATCAGAGAAAAAACAAAGGTGAACGATGTATCAAGACAGGTTGCAAAACTTAAATGGAACTTCGCCGGTCACACTCTCCGGCAAAAAGATGAAAGATGGAATAAGCGAATTCTACACTGGAGACCATGGGAAAAGAAAAGAAAAAGAGGAAGACCACAGATGAGATGGACTGACGATCTTAAGAGAACGGCAGGAAAGGACTGGATGCAGATCGCTCAAAATAGAGACCAATGGAGGTTAACAGGGGAGGCCTATGCCCAAGAGTGGGCGTTTAAGGCTGATTAGATAGATAGATAGATTCTTTCAAGAAGTGTTTTATCTCGGAACTGGAGGGCGTTGATTGTATTTTAATCGGATTTAAATATTGATAAACCAGAGCCTCGACGATATTTTCTTTGAATTCTATTATTCCCAATTATTTGTTATTAATTTTGTTATACAGATTCAGATCATTTACCATAGCGGTAGAAGTAACAAAATAAAAAACGAGTCGCATATACAACTTGACGGGTCTTCTCACGTATGTCGCATAATATGCCATCTGGTCAGAAGTGTATACAAAAGCTTTTCTTTTGTTGTAATCTACAACCATCGCTGGTTTATGAACTTCTTATACTCTGCGATTAACTGTAACCATAGAGTCGTCATGTTTGGTACTGAGCATAACAACCTCTCATTTATCTTTCCATTTGCAGACAACTGTTTTATTTTCGTTTTGTTGGGCCACGACTTCACCCTTTCTCAATTTAGCTTTTAGCATATCTAGGGGATTATATTTTCTGTTTGTCCTTAGGGTTCCTACTAAATGTGTTTGTCGTTGAATTAGACTATTAGACAGCGAAACACTAGTGTACCAGTTATTGGTATATACTGTTCTACCTGCATCCAAAAGTCTCTCCATCAGTGTTGTGACAATTTTTTGGCAACTGATATATCGTCCGCCTTTTCTTTGCCAGTGTAGACTTTAAACGACCATGTCTAGCCTCCAGCAATACAAAGTTTGAAAACCTTTATCCCATACTTATGTCTTTTTATGTGAATATACTGTCGGAAATAAATATGTCCTCGAAATGGTACGTTGCTTTCGTCTATGCAAACTTCTTCTTCGGGAATATACGATTCTTTGAATTTATTTTCTAATTCGTTTAAAAATTTAGAGATTTTGTGGAGTTCTTCTTCCGGATCAATTGGTTGCTCATTGTTTGATAGATCATCGATAAAATATCGAAAGTAACATCTCAAATCTATTGCGGCTCATTATTTTTGGAATTCCATTTTCAATAATTCTTTTTTTGCTCCAGTAATCTCTCAATTTTGGCCAATGCATAAGTCCCATCCACAAGACAATGCCCAAAATTTGAGCATCTCTGTACGATCAGTGTCAACCCATTTACTAAGTCTTGGAATTTCACTTCCTGCTGCGGCAGCTTTATTCGCAGTATTTCTTTGTGCAGCAAATCTATTGGTTTCTTCCACAAACAATGAGATAATTTCATCGTCTATGAAGTATTCAAAGTAACTTATAGGAGAGGCTACATGAAGTTTCTGGATTATATATTCGGGTACACCGGTGTAGGCATAAAGAAAATTAAATTTCAATCTGTCAAATTGTTCAAATTTAATCGGAGCTTCCTTCATCATATGAGTAATCTCGATCTGCAATGGAGCCATTCTCGGAATATTCTACTGCTTCAACATCAGACAAATTTTTCAACTTCCAAAGCAGTTCTTCTGTAAGTCCTCTTCTTGCCATTATTGTTTAAAATCTGCAACAAAAGAAATAATGAAATGCGTGACCACTGGTGGACATTTGGTTTCACAATGTAAAATTACAACCTGGGACCGCGTGACCACCGGTGGGCACTAAAAAAAAATCACAAAAAACAAAGCTGAAAAAAAAGTATTCTTTAAAATACAATATTAAACATTTAAAAAGCAGTTTTCGAAAAAAAAAACGTTTTAAAGTAAATTTAATATTGCGTCGCTACCACCAACAGATAGCCGAAGCAGTAGCAAAATA